TCGACTTGGCGGCTCCAAGCTGCACGCCTCTTGTTTTTCGGATGTTGCAGGGTTAGCGGTGGTTTTTGGGTGGTTTTCAGGCCACCAGCTGGCTAGTCTAGGGTGAGTAATGAGCTCCTCAGCCCCCAGGCTGGGAAGGGGGGTGCTGGGGGAAGGATGCTCTCGCTGGTCTGGGGCAGAGGCAGGAAGCATGCGGGGAGGCTGGAGCTGGCTTGTCCTGGCCTCAGGGAGCCCGTGGCCGTTTCGGTGAGGTGCCATCACCTCGTGGTTGGGAAAATCCAGGGCCCCTTGAGGAAACGCGGCCGTTCTAGGCGTCAGGATGAGTTGTCTTCGCCAGCGGAGAGCTGTAAGCTCATCCCGTTCCTCCTGCCACCGGGCCAAAACCTTCTCTCGTAGGTGGTGCCTGTTGGGAAGGAGGAATGGCCCGTCCAGGAGGAAGGTCGTCGGGATGGGCTGGGTGGTTTTCAGGCTCCCTCCACCGCACCTCCAGCCCAGCACGGGCTCCTCCGCCTGCTGCAGCAGAGAGCTGCGCCCAGGCGGGACAAGAAAGCGGTGCGCCGCGAGAAGGGCTGGCTGGAGAGCTGGCACCCTGCCAGGGCTCTGCCTCGTCCCAAGCGCCCCCCAAGCGGTGCGTGCCTCGGCTTCCCGCGGTGGCGTGGGGACGGGGTGTCTCAGCTCTGGCTGGTGCGGGCAGAGGCTGCTCCGTGGGGCAGCACGGAGGCCCCTGGGTTGCCAGCTGACCCGTTTGCTGGTGTCCTCTCAAAACTACCCGCGTGCCGTGGCTGGGCTGGGAAGGCCTCTACCTCGAGTCAAGCCGGCAGCCACCACCGCCGCTCCCGAATGGCAATTGAATTAGAGGAGATCTCTTTTAAACAACTCTTCCCCCCTGGCCCAAGCGCTCCCTGAACAATTGTGAAATGAGATCTTTATCATTTTTATTAAAAGCCGTACACAAGGCATCACCATTAAGCTGGATATGAGGAGGGAAGGGGGGGTAATTCCCTTATGGCTCTCTCCTTCTCTTCCCCCCCAGTTTAATTCATAGTGGTGGGATGCAAAAGCTCCCCAGAGAGTGATGGATAGTGGGAAATGAAGAATATGAAGGAGCTTTATTGAGCCCATCAATCTCGGGCGATGCTGCTGTGATCAAAGGCCCAGCCTGTTTCGGCAGAGGTTATGCAGAGGAGCAAAGAGATCGGGTTTCGGGTAAATGCAGGGCACAGAGGAGCTGCGCAGGCAGCAAGCACAACCGTCCCTCTGTGCTGCCGGCTCCCCGCCCGGCCTGGTCTGCGGCGGGGGACACCGACCTGCGTTGCTTGCTCCCGCTGGGAGTTGGGCACACCTGCCTCTCCTCCTCCTCCTCCTCCTCTCTTCCCTGCTCTGCCACGGTGCCTGTCACACGCTCGCACTGTTGGCACAGGTAGTAGGGGACCCATTTGGGTCTGGGCTTAGGTCTCATCGTGTTACAGCTCCAGGCGTCGCACAGCTGGTGGTGCCATTTGGCTGCTGGAAAGGGCCAGTCAGACTGTGGCAACGCATGGCCAAGGGTTGGGTGCAACCTTGGGCTTTGCCCAGGGATGAGGCAGGTCCGTGGCAGTGGTGGGAAGTCTCTGAAGTGCCTCCTGTGACTTCTCCAGTAACCTATTGGTCATGGATGTTGAGGGAGACTTTGTCACCCTGCCAGGTGGGTGGCAAGAGGGGACCTTCCTCTGGACTGGGAGACATCAGCCTCCTAATGATGAGCAGGGCTGGGCTGGACCAGCCCATGGATGGGAGATTTGAAGAACCCTTGGCTCCAATGTGGTGTTGACCAGTCTTGGTCCCGTACCTGCTTGGAGGACAGAGGTAGTGAAGCCCTGGCTCTGGGGTCTGAATGTAGCTAGATACTCCAAGTACGAATTTCCTGGAAAGGGCAGCTGACACAACACCCAGGAAGTCTCTCGGCTTGATGTTGTGATTTTGCTGCCCGGCACGGATTCAGGCTGTGGCTTGCCTGGTGGGGTTACCTGACATCTGTGCATACAACGCATCTAGCTGGGCCTATTCTTTTCTCTCCTTCCTGCTTTTCTGCACCAATTGCAGCCGCAGTGCCAGCGAAGGCTCCGCGGGAGGCAGCTCTGCGCTTAATGCCGACCCGCTCTGCTTTGTGACTGCCAGCACATCCCTGGGCACCTGAAAATCAGCACGGGGGGCATCTGGAAGGTGGCTTTTTCCTGGCTTGTTTGAAGGTGGGTTATAGAGGCCAGCGCTGTTCTGGTTGGCCTGGCAGAGGGGGCAGGAGCCTTGCATCTCTTGCAGGGCTTTCAGCTGGCTGTGCCCTCCCTTTCTGCTGCGGTGTGCCATGGGGCAGCGCTGGGCGCTGCTGAGCGGCCGCCGCGGGGCAGCCCTCCGCTCTCCCTACTCGCTCTGGGCAGGCAAAGTGCTTTGGGATCCCTCTGGCCAAGCAGCTCTGCGCTCAGGTACTGCAACGATGGGAACGGCGTGAAACGGGACGGAGCGTGAGCTTTCAGCCTGCGTGAGGCCTCTTGGGCCGAGGAATCGGGTGAGTTTAGGAGGCACAGGGAGCTTGGGCATCTGCTGGAGGCTGTCTGAGGAAGGATGCTGGTTCAGGTCGCTTTACCAGCCATAACTGAAGCCCCAGCTTCCAAATTCAGGTGCTATAGCAAAGATTTCTCCGCAGCTCTTCAGCAATCCTATGGGATGGAAAGGGGGCTTCCAGGCCTTGGGAGACTTGCATGCATGGGTTGTCACAAACTGTGTATCTTTTAGAGGCTCCTTCTACCTTTTTACGGAGTGCTGCATTCTTGGGAGGTGAGGTCAGAGCTGTTTCCCGGACCAGGCGAAACCAAGGGATATCTGGAAAGTCGATGTGCTGAGGCTGAAACGTGTGCGCTGGGTTGGCCGGGGATGGAGTCAGGGCCCAAATCTGCTCTGGGCTGTCAGCAGGAGCAGCAAGTAGGGTATGCACCCAGGGCTGGCAGGGCCAGTCACTCCTTTGCTGGAGCCTGAGCTGGGATGGGATCAGGATGGTGCTGTAACCGTTGCTAAAGGCTCGGGCAGACAGGACCTGCTTCCTAGCTGATTTCTTGCTCCCCCTGAAAGGGGTGAAGGCCCCAGCCCATCTTGCAGAGGAGGTGTCCATACCTGCTCTCTCCTGATTTAGAGGGAGTCCCTGGAGGGGACCCAAAACCTGGCCCTGGGCATGACGTCTAGCAGAGCACGAGCCCATAAGGCCCCGGGGCAGCGTGGCCCTGGCAGCGGATGACACTTATCTGTCTCGAGCTGGGGCTGCCTGCGGGAGGGAGGGGGCCGGAGCCCATCGGGTGTCTGATTTTTGGGAATGCCTTTGAAGCTGGCGAGCGGTCTCCAGCGTCGTTCCTTGGCGAACGCCAGCTGTATAAACAGCAGCCCGGAGCAAAGCTGCCGGCTCGGTCATCCGTCTGCAGCCCGGGAGATGCAGCGGGGATTCGCTGCTCGGCAGGGGCCCCCGAGGTTGGCCACATCCCTCCAGGGTGCGAAGTGGTGGTTGTGGGCTGGACTGGTGTCCCCAGGCCCTGCTTGGCAGCAGCGCCGAGGGTACCCAGTGTTTGGGGAAGGAAGGCAGAGCCGTGAGTGCTGCAGGGGCTGATGCTGGTGCCGAGCTCTGGCTCCAGTGAGCTGGCCCTGGGGTAAGCCGAGGTTTCCTTAGTGCGGGTTCACGGGTCCCCCGACGCTTTCTGGGTGGAGATGACTCTCACATCTCCTCCCTCTTCCCGGCGCTTGCGGCTTCCCCCCTGCCGCACCGGGAAGAGGGAGCGGCGGCGTCTGTCCGACAGCGACGCTGGCAACCGCGTTACAGCTTGTGAAACGTAGCTGCAGGGCAGCGCTGGAGGGCACGGGGCTGCCTCGGCCAAAGTCATCAAGTGCCACACGAAAAAAAAATAACAGCGCGGAGGAAAGATGAAAACTTGTTGGATTTGGAACTGTGACAAGTTGCTCTTCCTTTTTATTGTTAGCAAGGGAGAGGAGCGGAGCAGGCTTGTCTTGGCGAAGGCAAATGCTG